GCAAAAGTTACCCTATCGGGATATTAGTTTTGGTGCAGCTGATGCACGATTATTCCTTTAGAACAAGCTATTTATGTTTGCTGCAGGAGCTTTTCACTGTTCGCTTACAAATCTCACTATTTAACCCCTAATTATGAAAAGACCCCGGGCTATACAAACCATGAAATCTTACCTTAAATCAGTTCCATTTTAGATCAAAGTTTAATCCCAGTGTGTTGGAGGCCTAGCAGTAGGAACAGGGAGCGACACGTCTGCACTTTTTTTCAGAAGCTTTGCCAACAACAACTGAGTTTGGGAGCAGCCGATGGGACAAACTTGCCAGAAAGGTCGTAAATTGTGAGGGGGACTTTAAAGTTATTTATTCACCCCGGCTCTCTTCCGCTGCCTGAATATTTTATTGCTTTTTATTTCAAACCCCCCCCCGCTCGACAAAACCTTTCAACCTCCGGGAAGTTACCGTTTGAGCTTGATGGTGTTTGAGCTGTAAACGGAATTGACCCGCAATAAAAGGCACATGTTTAAATCCAGATCTGCTGACCTTTTCCACTCTCTGTATCCCGCCGTATGTCATCCTCTGTGTCTCTCAGACATCTCACTGAAACGTGTTCTGATGTTACAGATAAATGTTACAGCACAGGCAGAAGATATTTTTATTTCTATATTTTCATTTTTTTTACTCATGGAGCTGAATCCAGTTCATTCAGTGTGTGTGTGTGTGTGTGTGTGTGTGTGTGTGTGTCAAAACAGGACGGTCTGGTTTTTCAGGAGGGATGTCATAGCTAGTAAGGTGGTCCTTAGCTCCCTGACAGGTTAGGATTTATTATATTTCTTGTAATCTTTACATAAACAGAAAAGAGGGAATCTGTTTTACTCATTTTTAACAAACTGGTCGTTTTGTTTCATGGGCTTAAAAAAACACAGCTGCATTTAGTGTCATCAGAGATGTTTTATTGTTCATGTAAATCTTTTTTGGAGAGAAAAGCAGTTGTTTTTTCTCTCTGCATCTAAAATGTAAATATCTCCAAGTGTGCGTGGATCTCTGGTGAGCACATTGACCTCTACCTGTGGCCGGAAACAATGAGCTCCCGTTCAGATGAATGGTTACTGCTGACAAACTTGACAGAGGGAAGGGAAGTGCCACAGTCAGACTCAACACACCTTGATCGATACCTGAGATGCCCTGCGGCTAACTGGGAGGTCAAGGTGACAGAAACACGCCCACACCTGCACCGAATAGAATAGAATAGAATAGAATAGATTGAGGACTACACTTGATTATCTGGAACTGAAGTGTAGAAAAGTTCAAACTATACTGAGTATAAATCAGAGTCGATGCAAACGAGAATCAGGCTGTCAGTTTCTCTCCCTCCAGTCTGAAGAGTCTCCGCACTCTTGGCTTTTGTTGTCCGGTCTGGTGATGTATGAGCAACTTTTTGAGGAAACAGAGAACAGCAATATTGCCTGCAGCAGGCAGGGAGTGTCAGTGTCACAAAATCAATGTGGGAGCTGCTCAGGAGCAGATAGAAATTACATGAAAAATATAGCAGGGGAAACACGTTTATACGTATGAGCAGCAAGAGCTTCAAAATGCAGAGCTGTTAGTTTATGTTTGCACCTAAATTATCTTTTCCCACAGCCTATCAGTTTGATATGATATGCACTAGAATATAATGTAAAATGGGAACTAGTTAAATTATAATTACAGTTAAATCAAATGTATGTTTTAATCATGATTTTAATTTATTTAATTGTTAAGAAAGAAAGAAAGAAAGAAAGAAAGAAAAAGAAAGAAACATATAGTGCAGGCCCTGGTGTGTGTGGGGGTCAGATTTCTTTTTAATTCAGTTGAATCAGAGTTTTGGAGAAAGACTACAATTCATTTACCATAGTGAAGGGACATTTATTCATTTATTCATTGGTCCATCCATTCTTCAGTCGAATCCTTCAGAAGCATTTCTGATAGGACAGTGTTTCCCCGTGCCAAGCGATTTGTCTTTTCGTCATTTAATTGTGTTCATTCCGTTAAAACGGCGCACGGTTGGGGCTGCCAACCTTTTTTTTTCTCTTTTACTTTTCTTTGTCCTTTGGATAATTACAACTGTACTCCTGATTAAATTTTTGTGCAGTTATTTACGTGGATGGAATATTTTGATTTTTAATAAAATATTCGTTTTAAACGGAGCAGTGAGAAACTAAATTGGCCAAGGAGACATTTATAAATTGATTTCTTTTTATAAAAAAAGAGATACAAAAAATCTTTCTCGCTGACAGAGGCCTAATCTTTCCTTCACAGTGAAATAGTAAAATAACATTATTTTATAGAAATAAATTATATTTAACAATTCTTGGGGCATGATATAACCTTCACTCGCATTGTGAAATATAAAAACATACCAATTAACAATGAATAATTCAATACACACTCTACCAAAAGAAATAAAGCAGGCCTTTATTTTTATTTTAAAGATTTATTTTGCTGTTTTTCATTCAAAGTTGCACATGGAAACATAATTATAACGAGACCATACTGCAGCGTCGAGCCCACCTGTCCTCCCTCCTCTCCATCACCTTACATCCGCTGTCTCCAAGAAAAAAAAAAATGCAAACCTTTTATTTTCTTTTTTTCTTTGTAATTTGTATCTCCTTCTTTTATTTGCGCCTTAGCCGCCTAATCGTCGCCCTTGTCTCGCAGGAAGTGTTACAGTATTATAACTTCATTTCCCAGATCCCCTCCAGCAGTGAGGAGGTCAGGGGTCAGGAACAGTACAGACGGATGAAAATATTCCAGTGTGGTTATGACAGGGAGTTTATGAAAGCAATAAACGTCTATCGACGGTGTAACCTTGTGCCTCCAGAGAGCCGCTGTCTTCTATATCTACCCTGTAGATCCGGATTTGTGTAAAAATCATTATAACAATCACAAATTCGCTTCTAGGGGAGTATATAGTGGATTTATACACGACGGCAGCGATGGATCCAACGCAGGGAGGAGAGGCCTTCTTTAGCGGCTATTATTAGGTTGCAACACCTTATGGATAGATGCTTTATATTTGAATCTGTAAAATGGAGCTTTAATAAAATGTTATCCACCAATTTTTATTTCCTATCGGCAAAGACAAACACCGGTGCACTTATTTCAGGGCGTTATTGGTGGTTATGTGTATTTTGAAGCACGTTATTGTGGCTCTGTGCTCCTCCGGAGTGATGAAAACTCAATCCAACTTTTTTTTCCCTTTTTTTCGATCCTCAAATCACCTCGGAGTTTTAAAGGCCAACTCCAGGTTGAATTGGACTCCTTTTATTTATTATTTGTCCTGTTGAAAAATGATGCGGTCGACTTTACTGTTCATCTAGGAAGGCGTATTGGGGGGTTGGGTTCGTGTGTGTCTGAATGTGTGTGTGTGGGTGAGGGGGGCGTAAGGTTTCGATTTAGAGAGAGTCAATTTTCTCGAAACAAAGGACTTGGATATCTCCATCATCTTGCCTGTGTGTGTATGTGTATGTGTGATTGTGCGCGCACATTTAGTGCCACTGATAACTCCTCAGAAAGTGCACAACACCTCCATTTGATTGGGAAAACATCTATTCAGTTCTATCCACCGCAGTGTTGTGTGTTCTGTGGCGCATTTTATGTCTTTGTGTCTTGTCTTTATGCTGTTGAAGGCATGCAGAATGTGTTTCAAGCAGATTTACTAGACTTAGGGGAATTTACCGTAAAACGTGTTTGGGTGAGAATGCTGGAGAATGTATGGTATTCTTTATAATGTCGTCTAGGTTCTTTGCGTCTTTACGCTGCGTAATGCAGGTTGAACTCCTTGTTTTATGGTGTTTGTATTTGTTTTATAGCAGTAAGAAAGTGACAGCAGTTAGACTCTGTTACACAGTAGTGTGTTACAAATGGGGAAAGAAGGCTATGAAAGTCTGTGGCAGCTAGTGTGAGCGGGTCACGGCTGGGGAGATGAATTTCCTTTACGAGGAAAACAAAGAGCTGAGTATCTCTCTTCAGTAATGCACAGCTCAAGGGCAAAAGCAGCCGCGCAGTGTGAATGGGGGCATATGGACTTGCTATGCCAGTGATGTTAATATCGGAAAGTGGAGGGAAATATATCCTGTTTATTCATGCAAGGCAAAAGGCGACCCCGGCTGAGGCTGAATTACCATGCAGGGGGAGTTAAATGTGGAATGGGCGCCTGTTGGAGTAACAAAAAAGAGGGAACCGGTGCTGGGTTCTCGTTCCTAATGCAAAGGTCTGCTGGTGATTTAGAAGGCCGTGTAACCTGAATTAGTTGATGAATTTTCTATCGATCCTAAACAAGCCAGATTTATCTCTGACACGGTGCTGCTGCTGCTGCTGCTGCTGCTGGGTGGCGGCGCAGCAGCCGGCCAGGCCACTCTCCCACTCCCCGTTATTAGCGATTTAAAAAGACTAGAGAAAAAAAAGAAAAACCTTTAGCAATCACGTCCTTACACACACACACACACACACACACACAAATATATACACACAGGGTGGTGCAGGCGCCACTTCAATTCCCCCCGAGCACTTTCCTTCTGCTGCTTCTTTTTTCTTTCTTTCTTTCTTTCTTTCTTTTTGAAGTTGCAGCCAGACGCGTAACAGGGGCAAGGGGTTCCTTTGCAATAAGGGAGGACTTGTCATACTGTACTCTGTTGCTCGTGTGTGTCCTCCTGCAGGAGCGGAATGTATTTTCAGCTTGTCAGACGCGCTTTGTTATTGTTGTGATTCTCTGCCTGCTTAGGACGGCATGCGTGCCGACATGTGGTGGAGAGATATAGAGGGAGAACCGGGCACGGGAAGGGAGAGAGGGGGGAGACGTATTGTAAGACTGTGAATGCCCACAAACTGAGGCCATATGATGATGCGCGTGCGGGGGCCGTGTACATGCTTAATCCCATTTCCTTATCCGGGCTTCATCCAGGAGGCGCGCCATTGGCCGGCTGCCGTCACGTGGCTTCTTAACTTTGTTCACTTGACAGAAAAGTAGGAGGGTTCAGCGGAACAGGAATAACCGAAGAGTAAAGGGATGAGATATAAATTTTAGTTATATATTTTCCGAGTAGGTGCAATTCCACAAAAAGACTGAAATTAATGGCCATGAGCTCCTATTTGATCAACTCCAACTATGTGGACCCGAAGTTCCCACCGTGCGAGGAATACTCACAGAGCGACTATCTGCCCAGCCACTCTCCGGACTATTACAGCTCCCAGAGGCAGGAGCCTGCTGCCTTTCAGCCGGACTCTCTCTACCACCACCATCAACAACACCACCCACAACACCAGAACCACCACCACCAGCGAGCTGTGCCGCCATACACGCAGTGCCAGCGTCCGGGGCAGCCCGCCTCGGTGGTGATGTCCCCTCGAGGTCACGTCCTCCCCCCGGCCGGGCTGCAGACTACCCCCGTCCCGGAGCTGAGCCACCGCTGCGACTCGGTGACACCCAGCCCGCCTCCGCCTGCGTCTTGCGGCCAAACGCCCCACAACCAAAGCACTTCGTCCCCTACGAGCAGTCGGAAGGACCCCGTAGTCTACCCGTGGATGAAGAAAGTCCATGTAAACATCGGTAAGTGCTGCATGCAAACTTCTTCCTCTCTCTCCCCTCTCTCTCTCTCCCTCGCTGCGCCTTTGTGGCTGCAGTTGCCTGCCATGCAGTCAGCTAGGTGTCCACCGTCAAAATCTACGGCTTCCCCTCCCTGTTTTCTGTTAGAAGTAGAAGAGTAGCCCTTGGGTCAAGATTTACGATCGTCTGTTTGCAGGGCCAATATAATTACACCCTCCATAAATTTTTATTACACCTCTCCGCCGAGGTGCCTTTTGAAGTCCGATCTCGGGCTCGTCTGCTCTAATTCCTCGCCTTATGACAACTCAGACCGAGCCCATAAGTTAGCTTTTATGCTTTGGTAATTTGATTTTAAGTGGTGGGGTTGTATAAACGGTGTACTTTACTCTGTCGAGCCTTCCTTCCCCACTCGTTGTTCCAGGGGAGGGAAAGTTTTATGGCAGCTGAAATATTCATGTTTATGGAGCCGGCCGTAAAACACTAATGTAAAACCGAATAGCTCCAGTCTATTATGGCTTCTTTGTAATGTTCTAATAGACTTGCTGCCTATTGCGTGTTGGGATAACCGGGGCGCGTGTTTGCGGGGCGACAAAATGCCACTTCTGTAAAGTCACCGTAAAGCATTCTCTCCGTCGGACTGTTTACTCGGTAAGAAAACTCTTTGTTTCATTTTTACTTTGCACAGTTTTTAGCAGCCACGTATGATAGGAGAGATCCTCTGCAGCATGTTTGATTGCTGTTGTCCGCTTGTAGGTTTTGGTATCTTGTTCGGCCATTCAGTGCCATTGTATAGCTGCTGCACCCCCCACCACCACCTTTATTCCCAACCAGTTTACGCAAGGCAGACAATGCCCGCATCCTTGCTATGTATGATCATCGAAAGAAAGAGTGGCTTCCTGACTCACCGCTGCTCTTGTTGTTTCAATGTATTTACATGTTGGTAGTCGTGCGTGCGTGCGCAAACGCGTCAAAACAGCACGGTTTTGCAAGTCTTAGGAAATGCGGCCGTGGCCCCGATTTGCTCTGAAATCACAACATTTGGACACCAGTGTCAGGCTGGCTGTGCTGGGAGGATTCACACAGCCGCAGGGCCTGAAATGACACCTGACAACATGTGTTCACTGAAAATGCAAAGTCTCGACCACAAACTGTGGCGTAAAAACAAATCAAATCCGCTGCAACAGCCGCACCTGAAAGCGCAGACAAAAAGATTTGTGATAGGATAAAATGAGATGCTAATCATTAAAGGGTCTGCCAAGGTTACAGCCATTTTCCATTCTATCAGTAGATACAGCCGTGGTGGCCATGGCTTTATTTCTCTCCGTTCCATGTTCATAATGCACACACATATTTATTTTTCCATGTGGACTGATGCTGTTTTCAGTGTTACAGGATACCAATGGACTACTGCGTAGCGTCCTCTTAATGAGATATGAAACAAATACTCTATGTATGTTTAGTGCAAGCTTATATTGTATTTAAAACGCCTGTGTTTTGTAGTAAAATTACAGCATATTTTGTTTGTAATGTAAGCTATTATTATTATTATTATTATTATTATTATTATCATTATTATTATTATATTGAGGTTGTTGTATTTTTTATTTTTTATTGTGTGGTTAATGTGTTGACTGTTTATTCCCACTGCTGTCCCACAGTGACTTCAAACTACACAGGGGGTGAACCGAAGCGCTCGCGGACGGCCTACACGCGCCAGCAGGTCCTGGAGCTCGAGAAGGAGTTCCATTACAACCGGTACCTGACGCGCAGGCGCAGGGTGGAAATCGCGCACACGCTTTGCCTGTCAGAGCGGCAGATCAAGATCTGGTTCCAGAACCGGAGGATGAAATGGAAGAAGGACCACAAGCTCCCCAACACCAAGGTCCGCTCCGGGACAAACAGCAACACAAACTCCCAGGCTCTAACCGGCTCCCAGACCCGCAGCGGGCCCCTATAGCCCGGTCCTTAAGCTCTTTATGTATATTATTTTTATTTTTTGCCCTCCCTGGTTCCTAAACTGACCGGCAGCCACACGTGTAACAACCGGAGCCTGCACTTTGGACCGGAATAACGCCTTTGCTCTGGAGGGAGGGAGGGATGTCATTGCCGCCCGTTCGGCCCTGATCTGTGCTGATGTTACACACTATAACAGACGTTATGACGTGGGAGGGGTGGACAGGGAGATTTCCCATTCATAAGAATATGAAATGAACAAAAGTAGGCGAAGAAGGAGACTGAACGAACTGAGAAAATGTTGCGGCCGCTTCTTTGCTTTTATTTGCTCATTCTCTATCTGCGTCCCTCTCTTCTGCCGTTTATATTTCTGTCTTTTTATACTCCTCTCTCTCTTCCTCTCTATGACAGAGCATAAGGCGGTAGGCTGAGGATAATGTGCCCGCGTGCGTGTTTTTTTTTTTTTTTTTTAGGTGAAGATGGATCCTCGTTTTCATCTTTAATCATGCCAAACTCGGGCCCCATTTGTCATGTTTACTCTGCGGGTACAAAGCAAAGGGGTGAACCGCGGCTCTACCCATTACCCCTCGCCCCCCCCCCCCCCCCCCCCCCCCCCCCCCCCCCCCCCCCCCCCCCCCCCCCCCCCCCCCCCCCCCCCCCCCCCCCCCCNCACACGCACGTGTAATAAATGGAACTCTCGGTTCGTCAAGAAAAGTATTCTTACACCCCGCCACACGCGCACACAGACACACACAGACACACACACACACACACACACACACACACACACACCGCCCTTATAGTACTCTCTAAAATCAAATATAACCTCCGGTATGATCCAAAATAGCACCAGGCAGTTTCCTGTCTTGCTGTTATAACTATAACTGTTGTTATTTCTGTTTTGTTTAATGACAAAGTATAGCTTTTTAAATTTTAATTATAGTTATTTTTGAATTCAGTGTTGATTGTAAAATGCTGTTATTGCTGAGAATGACAAGGAGCGTTTATGTGGTCCGTTGATTGTTCATGTTGTGATGTTGTATACAGGGAAACAGAGTGACAGGGTGATTCAAGTGAAATAAAACTAAGGCATTTGTTCCACTACGAACCAAACAGGGTTTATAAAGCTGCCTAGGCAAAGGACACTAATATTCAAACCAAAATCCTGGTACAGCTCAAGAACACATAATAAACGCAGCACTATACAATGTACTACCTATTACCTCAGTTGTACTTATATATATTTTTATTTTTTGGGGTCGTCTTATTTTCTCTTGCTCGTTCAATGAAGTGACAGCTTTTCGAGCTTTTATATTTTTGAAATTGTCTGGCGACTTATTATAATAATAATTATTATTACCTGCAATACAAAAAGCGCTATTCATTTCTTGTATGTGGAAATTTAAAAAAAAAAATGTAATTTAATTATAAGCGATTGTTCTAACCAGGGACACTCAGAAAAATAAGGAGCCTTTTTTTTTGCATGTCTGAATGGTGTTGATTTATTTTTCTTTATCTCCCTCTCTGTCCCTTATTTCTCCGCACATTAAATGCGCGCACACTTCTCCTTTCCCCTCTTTACTTCCCCTCTTCTCTCTTTTCTGTGCCACTTTTTAGATATTTTATTCTGCAAGTGTTTTTTTTTTTTTTTTAATTGATGTTATTTTATTTACATTCCAAAGATTAGTTTCTATGATGATGATGATAGCAATGATGGTATTGTTGAATATGTGTTACCTCCTCCGATATGTAAGTTGCTCCTTTCTCTGCTTATGCCTCCTCAGTGTCGACCTTCCTATTATTTGTAAATAGTTCATAGAAATTTAAATAAATGGCTTAAAAAGAATATTTCTCTATCTTCTTATTTCCTCTGTCAAAATTATGAGTTTCTTCTATAATTGTTGGGGCACAGCCTACCATTAAAGACAAAAAGGTTTGAGTTATGTCACATAAAATCGTCCCGTTTGAATTCAAGTTTTTAAGGTTTTAGTATTTTTTCTTTGTTTGTAAAATTTGTAATAAAAATAATCTCCATTTTGCCTCCGCAGCAGCTCTGACAGAGCAAAAACACTTCCTTCTCTATCCTCTCATCGATGTTTAATGGTGAAGGATGTATTTAAAGCATATAAACACACGCTCCCACGTGCACACGAACACACACGCACACAATAAATAATTTCATTTAATTTCAGTGTTGGTTTTGCCTACAAACTGCACAGAGACCTGTCTTGAGAAATCAGCAGCCTGCAATGATTAATCTGTCCCGGCCATGAGTGATCTTGGTACATTACGTCCTGTAATCTCGTTTTAAATCACAAACCGTCCCCCCGTTTCACTCCCGTTCTCCCGTTAATTTAACGGCTGCTCAGACGCGCTTGCACCGGCCCGACACAGAGTATGAGACCCCCCCTCCCTCCTTCCTCCCTTCCTTCCTCTCTTTTTTTTCCCAGAAAAAAAAAACATTAAATAGTTTCTCGCTTCGTGGTCTTTTAATGCTTTAATGAGTGTAATTTTTGCACAACAGTTTTTTTCCCTCCTATCGGTGTTTTCTGCACCGGTTCTGTGCGCGCATGTGTGTTTTATTTTTTATATATTACAAAAAGGGAGCGGGCCGGCGCCATAGCTCAAACCCTGACAACCAAATAGATAATCAACAAGACGAATGGCTTCTTTTGTAAGGCGCGGCTCCCGTATTAATTTTCATTTTCTTTTCTTAGAGCAGGTATCGAAAAATATAGAGCAAGCGAGGGGGGAGAACGAGAAAATAGCATTCCTCCCGATGAACTTTAAACAAAAAAAGTGTGCCCCCCAAATTGGTCCGCTCGTATTCCTCGGCCCAGAGAAGATTCCCTATTACTTGTTGGTTGATTTCTCCCTGGGCCTCTTGCCACAGAGACTCCCTCTGCCCATTTATCTGTTTTCTTCCTGTTTATGAAAGGCTCCTCCAGCGCAAAAAGCCGCCCTCCTATCAAACTGTACACCTAGATGCGCTCAAACACACACATACACTGCGCCAAAATGGCAAAGCCTTATATATAGGGACTCGCGTATAGGCGAACCTGCATTTTCTAAGTGTTCTGTGTGAAAATGTATTTTGCTCTTTTATTTTTACTATTAGCCCCTCTGCTTCAAAGTGACTTTCAACATGTGCATTAATGCCCAGTTGCTCAGAAGGAGCCATATTTATTTTCTTCTTATATGGCGAATACTATAAGGTTGAATATCCCCTCATCCACATATATAAGGTTACATTTGTGCCCTAATGCTGTCATTTTTTCTTTACACCAATAGTCTCATATTAGATAGTCTTAACAGACCACCTCCCCAATATCTGCACACATGCACACACACATATGTGCCTCCATAATAACCCCTAAAGCCCGTGAGCGCACGCAGTCCGACTTGAAATAAATGAATTTGCGTGCGGGTTGACACCGCGCACAATAAAATCCACCAAGGAATCCATTCTCTTTTAGCTCCCTTTATCAGCCGGGGCCTTCTGCTGCTTCTGTGAATGGGAGCAGATTTTTTTGTGAGGATGCCCACCCCCCAACACCTTTCAGCCCCCCCCCCCCCCTCTGAAAAAGTTCACCGCCATTATTTTCTGGACAGGACAGAAGGGGACGGCACCTCAAGAAAAATGCGAGAATTATACAAGAAAAAAAAAATCATTAATCACTTTGTTCTTCTTTAAACACTTCTTCTCCTTCTCCTTCTTCTCTATTGTCATCCGGCAGCCACACACAAGACCCCTTCTGCCAGGAGAGAGAGGGCACGGAACAGAGACAGACAGACAGAGGAGAAGAAAAAGAAGACGCCTTGGAAGACACCCCCTCCCCCCTCCCTCACACGCACACCCTCCTCACACACACACATAAACAGTCATACATACACCTCCCCTTCCCACCCATCAGCAAGCTATTTTTTACACCCCACAAGTATCCCACCATAAGAAAAAAAAACTTTTTTCTTCCTCATTGGAAAGAAGAAAATCCCTCCAAAGAAAGTCCAACAAACCAGTCAGAGATCCCTCACGGCGCAGAAGAAGATGGCACAGAGGTCGCTGAAAGTGGTGGCGTCTAAGGTAAGAGGCCTGGGAACTTCATTTTGTCCCCTTTTCTGTCTTTGGCTCTCTTGTTGCTGTGTGTCTGATGGCTTGGTGGCGTTTTTATGGTTTTATTGCCCCCCTGCGCATTTGGCGAGGTCAGGCGAAGGGGGCATTTATGGCCGCGGGGGCTTTGATTTTAACGCAGGGACTTTTGGAGTTGTGTGTTTATGTTGGAAGGTACGTGCTTGAGAGTGTGTGTGTGTGTTTGCACGAGAGCGTATCCAGCCACAAATGACAAACTTGTGATGTGGTGTTTTCTCCTGAGTTTATGCAACTGTTTCCTTCCCCCTTTGCTGCAGCGGTGTCACTTCTGCATCTGTTTGTCACTCACAAGGCCTGCGTCTCTTGAGCATCTGTTGTTGTGTGTAAATCAAATGTACGTCTTTTACGCACGAGTTTGGGTGGGTCGTTATAAAGAAACGGGTGGGGTTTATTTCAGTTTTTTTTTTATTCAGATGAAGGTGTATTTTAAATTATATGGTACAATTGCAATACAAACTCAATGCATTCGCCTTCACAGACTCATATAACTTCAGGAAAATTCAGAAATGCTCCAGCTAATGTATGCCAGAGGGGCCCACGTGAATAATTCCTGGTTCACCCCGAGCTTATTATGCATTTTGTCTTGGCTGTGTTTCTGTGGTTATAAAGTGTTGCAGTGGCCTATAGCTTTTAATGAGATACGGTTGCATGCATGTGTGTGTGAGTGTGTGTGTCGGCCAGGTGCAAAGAGGCTATGGAGACTGCGGTGGGAATATGAATAATATGGCGCTCAATTGGAGAGAGGGAAGCAGGGGGAGGAGGGAGGGTGAAAAAGAAAAATTAAAAGAACAGGGAGAGCGCTGGTTAATGGATACTCTCTCGGTTGCGCTCCAAAACAATTTACCTCGAAAACAAACGATCTGCGAAGCTTTCCAGATGAACTGCGAACGATCGCCGGTCGCCGTGCGCGCTCAGGCCCCCGGTATCTGCTGAGCCGAGCAGTAGCGGCCTCAGGAAGCGCACTCACTCCTGTTTGACCCCTTCAGAAATCAATCTGCCTGGGATTAAAAATAAAAGGGCGGCGGTTTTGGTGGAGGGGCTCTGGCCTCTCATGGGGATGCAGGCCGTGGCATGATGCGATGCGTGGAGAAGTAAGAGAAACAAATGAGAGAAATATAAGCGGAAGGAAAGGCAGGGAGAGAGGGGGTGTGGAGGAGGATAAAAATCGATGGTCATGCAGGGCAACGGAATGGCCAAGCTGCGGCCACAGAGGGTTCAACCAGGGGACACGTTTTTCTGACCGATGAGGTCCACTGGCTCTGAAGCCAGAGGCTGACCCGTGGTTACCCCCCCCCCCGCACACACACCGCCACCACCCCTACCCCCACTACCCCAGGTCCCCCTTGACCTCGCAAGGCTGCTGGTCCCTCCGCTCTCTCGGACATTCCCAGACCCCCGAAGCCCCCCGGGCCACTTAGTCATAACAGGCCGAGTTCAGGG